TGGGATGACGTATGAAATTCGAGTCCGCTCCAGCCAGTGGAGCCAGTCATGAACCTGACCACAACTCATGTTATTTGTTATTCCAGTCCCCGTGGCAGCGGATCGCAGATTCAGCCACACCATAAACAGCAATAAGTCGGTCTGAGGCAAAAGTGAACCTCATGGCTATAGCTTTTCCAACTTTTCCCCTATAGACATTTGATTACGCACAAGTAGGTGATCAGTTCAGGTTTACGCAGAGCAGAAGGAAGGAGAGAGCTCTGACCACGGGTTACGTTCCATGCGAAAACTGTTAAATTGCATTGTTGATGTGCTACCTGGGCACTCTAAATATTTATTTAAAATTAAATCAAAGGGAATTGTATGGTATTGAATGTTTATTAATTACGGCCTACTATTTAAAAAATGAAAGTGATGGGGAAAAAGGTCGATCATATTTTTTTAACCATGTCTGTCGAGTGACTGTTTAGCTTGACGTCTGATATATATATATATATATATATATATATATATATATATATATATATATATATATATATATATATATATATATATATATACGTATAGCCATGCCCTGATGTGAGGGCTGGGGGGTGCGTCGACATGGTCGGGACATAGAAGGGGGTGCACGACTACATAAGTTTGGGAACCGCTGGTTTAGACAATAAGTTACTTTCACTTTAAGATCAAGTTTAAACTAAAAGTCTATGAACTGTTTGAATTTCATTTATGTTTGTTTAACTACAACATGCATGCTCACTGCATCCTTATTAGTCCCATCACAGGATGCTGGGTGTCTTCCACATTCATAAACACCCCAAAAATGGCAACAAATGATCATTTCCCTTGCCAAAAAATTACACTTCACCGGGACACTGTAATCAATTTTTGGCAAGGGAAATTATCTTTTTTTTTGCCATTTTTGGGGTGTTTATGATGATACAGTAGACAGTATGAGTACAGTAACATCAACAGATAATACATAAAACCCTTATTTGGTCAGTTTTAGCCTCCATGAAAAACTGAGCGATTCAATCACTTTTTGGCAAGTAAAATGCCATTTTAGTTGTCTACAATTAAATCATCAATAAAGAATTTAAAGATATTTTGAGGCGTTTCTTATAGGTAAACAGGAGGGTGTAGTCACTATTCGGCAAGTGACAATCTTAATTTTATGTGCTGAAGTGCTTTTATCTTGTTACTTTTAAATAGAGCAACGTAATGTATAGATAGTAACTTACACAGTGTCATTGTAAAGCCAAAGCTTGATCAGTTTAAATAATATTTTCAAGTAAAAATGTGCCCCAAACTAGTTAACTGTGGCTCCATGTCAACTGGACTAAAGAAAGGAAGGGGAAAAAATCAAATCGCTGGAGAATTGTTTATTTCCAATTATAAAACGTTTACATTCAATACAGGGCACCATTTTACAGTTTATTTATTTTTTAGTATCAAGGCTGTAACATAAAGAAAGCCAGTTCTTACCACAAACCATCTTTCAATCGCAAACATTGTAAAAAGGATTAATATATCCTCATTGTGAACATTTAAGACAAATGGCAACACCTAAAACAACTTCCGAACTGGAAAAACTAATATCCGCGATAAACATCTGTTTAAGTACCGGAAGAGGTTATCTCTGCTTTCTGAATGTCCAAATTGCTAGATATGCTGAGTTTTAAGGCGAAATCCTGGGGAATTTCATCTAGAAATGCAATTACCCCAACCGTGCGCGATCCCGTGGTGGCTAATCATTTTTTGGCAGCCAGTCGATTTATGGCACAACACCGGACACGGGCTCAGATTTTAGGCCCATGCAGTGCTCTACTCAGAGCATCATTTACTTGTGATGCCCAAGTTTCCCGCGGTGGAACAGAACCGGGAAAGTTTAATATGTCCAACCTCGACGTGTGTTTGAAGTAGCATCACAAAACACTGTATTAGGATGTTCGCAGTGTGTAAAATTGAAACTTAGGACACTCAACTTGTAGCAGTTGGTCAATGGACAATAACATGGGTTTTGTTTTCTTATGTCCCTGCCCTCAGCATTTCCTACCATTTGCTGACAGTAAAACATAACTGAAGTGACCTTGAATTTGTATTTTGCACTTTAAAAATATCTTTTTGTTTGTTTGATTACTTTATCAGAGTTTTTTCTTATTTATTATTTTATTCATTTGTTATCATTATGGTTAATGTTTGCATTTATGCAACCAATGGTTAATAAGAATTTGGTTAGTTTTTTTTTTATACTTACTGTTGCTGGCTCTTGTTCTCCTATGTAATATCACTTGACTTGATAAAACCTTTCATACATTCCACGCTACCAGATATGGAAAAGGATTTATGATTTGTGCAGATATCGTAGGCTGCAATATTGGTATCGTATCAGAAGTGAAAAAGTTGTATCGGGACATCCCTAATATTACTCATATATAAGAGAAACTTGAGTGATTAAAGGCTGACGTCAACACACGTTACATGCGTGCATGTTGATACACGCACGTTCGGGTAACTGCACTGTGAACAGCCACATATTTAAAAGAGCTGCGAAAACTTTAGAAGGTGAAAAAAGCTCTACTGACAAACAAAAATAAGTATTTTACAGATGTGAAATACGAACACCCAGGTGTAATAAATGCACTTTAGGAAGACACGCAAACATCTAAAATGCAAAGCTGAGGTGAAAATACTGCGAGCTGTTTGTAAACACAGAAGCACTTACCGAACACAATCTCAGCTCGTCTCCAAACGACACTTTTCTCAGCGCATTCCCTTTGAAAACGAGACAAGCCAGTTCTTCTCTTCTTTTTCGCTATCTGCAACAACGTTTTTCCTCCGCTCTTACGGATGTTTCAGAGCTTAAACGGCGGCTTCTTTGTTGTACTTCACCACTGATCGAAACACCCAGACAACCAGGGAACCGATCGGAACCGATGCTGAGTGTCCGTTTACCAAGCAAATCGAGCACTGATTGGCCGCTTCCATTACTACGCAACAATTTGCTCGTGCGCTATTGGTCCAGACCTTCATGGTGCGTTTAGTGCTATTTGTTAATTCAAGCTTCTTCATTGCCAGTTTCAGAAACAATTAAATAGCTAGGACACTATAAATTCTTACAAATGTATTATTTGTCCTAGAATACATTAAAAATAATAAGGATGCCGAATTTATAAAAATGTGACACAAAATGGTTGTGGTTTATTTTTTGTTTGTTTTCTTTTCAAATAAATTTGACATCTTTTTGTGAATGTTTAATTTTTCAGATAATAATATTTTCCTTTTTTCTTTTGGCTTACATTTGGCTGATTATAGGGTAAAATGTCAATCCTACTGCTTTCACCATAGCTGATACAGATCCATGTATCACTTACGACTAGAATTCAGTCAATTCTAAAGTGTCAGTTTTAGTACATTTTCCACTCAGCATGTAAGCAGACACCCAACCGTGACCTGGTGCTTGTCCTGCTTTTTTTTTTTTTAGCTACTTCAAGATCAGTTTTCACTGTTTATCTCAAGCCACTTGGAGTTCCGAACTACAAAATGTGCCTTTGAATGATCCAAACAGAGAACAAGCAAAATATGTTTCATATTATATAATCTCCTGTGTGTTAAAATTTCCAAACGTTACAAAATCATATGGAAACTTGAGCTCATTAAGTCAGCATTCTTCAAAAACAGCCCTCTTTTGCACTTAGTCGTGTACCCTCAATTTACACCACAGCAATGTTAATTTTGGAATTCCGAGAACCGTAAATGTATCATCTTTCCTTCGCTTTGCATGATCTTTAGTGGCCCTGTCTGCTAGGTTTTCATGTTTCTGTCCAACTAAGCAAATCAAAGAGCTGTTAAAACAGTAAAGATGTTGTTGCAAGCATCAGCAAACATGCGTGTAAAACGTAGGAGAGCTGATTGTTTTACACAGAAATGTGGCTGCCATTGTGCACTGCGCATATGTATATATATGTGTGTGTGTGTATATATATATATATATATATATATATATATATATATATATATATATATATATATATATATATATATATATATATATATATACACACAGTACAGGTCGAAATTTTGGACAAACCTTCTCATTCAATGTGTTTTCTTTATTTTCATGATCATGACCATTTACAGAAATGTGCCTGTCATGTTGTCATATATATATATATATATATATATATATATATATATATATATATATATATATATATATATATATATATATATATATATATTCACACACACACACTTTGGTATTACATTTTATTACATTGTGTAATCATACAACTTGAGAGTCAGTGTGTTAGCAGTGTTTTGAATTGCAGGAGATACAAACTAGATATTCAGAATATTAAATGATTGTTTAAGACTTGTTCATGGAATCCATTTCCCTCAAAACTTAATATTTCTTTTTTTTCAGAGCGCGACATACTGTATCAGTAGAACAAGACAAACTGGTGCATAAAAAAGTAAAAGCTGGCTTCTAGGTTTATATTTATCAGTTTATAAAAGAGAACATGAAGTGTATCACTTTTGGGTTTATAACTTCTAATGAAGAAAGTAGAAATTAACTTTGAGCCACAGAACATCTCGTGCAGATGTTTGACTTATTTGAGAGCTCAAACAAGAAGGCTTAAAACTTGATTTAACAAAACCTGGGATTTGGCTTTCTCTGCTGGTAGTGGTAAGTAATTACAAGCACTTTGCTTTAGGAATATATTTTCGGTAGTTTATATTCTAAATTAGTAAATTGATACACATAATTTTCTGTATATTTTCTTTTAATTATACTGGTCATTTTAAGCATGAAAGATCAGTGTAAATTTTTTAATTCAATTCAAAGAAACTTTATTAATCCCAGAGTGATTATTTTTTTGGGTAGTTTTACATTTTAGAACGCCAAAAAGAGAATTAATTGAATTATGGATGTATTATTTATGAAATAACTACAAATATTCTTAAGACAAAAAAACATTTAAAAATATACTCCATAATTTTTATTGTAAATAACTTTTATTGGCTTTCGTGTTAAAAAAAACAGAAAAAAAACAACACAAAACACATAAAAGACTGAGCTGACAAACCATTCCGAGTCATGATGGCTTTCAGCTGCATCTTATCCAAGCGTACAGGGTGAAGACACTAACACAAAGCTGAGAGGCAACTCATCAAGGGAAACTTTTGTCCTGTTGTCTGTTCATGTCAAAACCAAGATGATGACAAATTTAAAGATTTTAGTGTTTTACAGCAACATGGACACAAGCAACTGCTTTGTTAAATGTAAATGATAACAGGTTATTATAACATGTCTGAAATAATACTGCAGCACATAAGGGATGAGAGTTTAGGACCAGCATCTTAAATGAAGGCATTCAATTTCCAATGATTTTTTAGAAATAATCTCTCGTTTCCACATGCGTGTGTAAAGTAGCACTAAAATATCGAAAAAAAGGTAAGACACCATTTATTCTTTTCAGATCTGGATCTCACACTTTAAAAATCTAATTTCCAAGATTTAACCTCCCAAAGTAAATCTTTTTTTCTCTCCATAGTGTTAAAAAACGACTGGATTTTTAACTCTCCCACGGAAACACCTCAAACGTAATGTTGAAAACAATATGCAAAGAACCCGAACCACAGTCTGAAAGAAAGTGAAGAAAGACGTAAACATCCCAAATGACACAAGCAGCCTAAACTTTGAGAAATGGAAAACTTTTTGTGAACGTGACTGAACAACCAACCAAAGCCGCGGCCCAAACGCGCACGTTCGTGCGTTTGATCTGCAGCATTTGGTAGCTTTTGCATGACAGCTCTCTGCAACGTACAAACACATGGGAACATAAACAAAAAATATTAATATTCATGTCAACAGTCAATGTCAAAACTGATTCAATTGCACAAAAATGAAAACAATTTTTTGCAAAGGCAAACTACAGCATGATCAGAAGTAGGCTGGGGGGGGGGGGGGGGGCACAGATATGCATATACACTATATTATTTACAAACAACTGAAAACTCTAATCTGTACATACATCTGCTATAGGAACTGTTGCGCAAAATACCAATTTGAGAAACAGTAATACTTTTTTTCCTTTTACAATGTACAAGTTTAATCTGTCCACACAATAAAAAGCTAAGCACAAGCCCCAAAAGGCCACAAAAGTGCATGTTATCAGGTAAGTTGGAAGCCACTGGTAAGGAAGGACTGGTACGAGTCAACGCTCCCAGTTTCACACCGGAGCCTCTAAAGGCTCCAGACTGCAGCGATCTGCAAGATTAATAGTGAGTGGATGGAAATCCGGAGTAGATATTTATTATACATACAGGCACACGACTGCAGATGCACAACACACACATTCTTGAACACAAAAAGATCAACAGACTTGTTAAAACACACAAATACAAGCATGCACACACGCACGCGCGCGCGCACACACACACGCACACACACACACACACGCAGGCTATAGGTGAGGAAACTCTGTCAAAATCCTCTCACTTCAATACTTTCTCTAAACGGTCACGTCTGATTCAAGTAGCAACCCCTAACAGAAGATCCTCTGTACCTTTTGGACTGTGTCTCGCGCTCTCACAGCTAGATCTAAGTCCTCAGCAGCAGCAGCAGGTGGAGCAGAGGCTGACCTTAAGTTTTAACAAGTCTCTGATGAAAACCAACTTCAGCCAAACCGTGTCACCACTAGGTGCTTCTAGAGGAATGAAATGCTGACTCGGGGTCAGTTTTTAATCCTAGCGCCCAGTGTAATCCACCGGTGGATGCACTGCTGCTCGTCTAAGCGGCAGCTGTAGTGTTCAGAGGAGAATGCATGAAGTGACAATATAAATACTTACAAATGTATTATTTGTCCTAGAATACATTAAAAATAATAAGAATGCCAAATTTATAAAAATGTGACACAAAATGGTTGTGGTTTATTTTTTGTTTGTTTTCTTTTCAAATAAATTTGACATCTTTTTGTGAATGTTTAATTTTTCAGATAATATTTTCCTTTTTCCTTTTGGTTTACATTTGGCTGATTTTAGGGTAAAATGCCAATCCTACTGCTGTCACCATGGCTGACACAGATCCATGTATCACTTACGACAAGAATTCAGTCCATTCTAAAGTGTCAGTTTTAGTACATAGTGAAGGGTGGACCAGGTGGCCTGACAACCCACACAGACCTCTTTGTTTCTATTTCCACTTCCTTCTAAATATCACGTTAATAAGAAATTCCAAGTTTCTGACCCATAAAGCCTGTTTTAGTTCAGTTACTTTCATACATTCACCTCCCACCAAACACCATGAGAAATGCTGCTCTTTTCCTATTCTTCAGTCAAAAAGATGAATTAAAGCCAATTCAGCAGCCAAACACTTTCTGTGTCAGTGCCTCCTCTCACCTCTGAATCATGCTGCCTGCCTCTCCTGTGAGCTCTGCTCCACCTGCCCAACTACACCAGATGATGCTGATTTTGTACCAAAAATGAAAAAATAAATGTGCGTCTTCATCGGTTCCTGGTCCACTCGAGTATCTTCAGATTTCCTTTGGTCTTCATTTTGACGTCACACCCACAGTTCCAAGCGCATCGTTCTCAGTTCTTCACTTACCATCTCCTCCCTAGAACTGGAAGGAGACTAACAGCTGAGCAAGTAGACCACCACCTCGTAGGTGCACATCATGATGGCAGTGTTAGGGATCTGTCTGACCAGGTGGGTGGTTAGGCCGCGGTACAGCGCCCCATATCCCTCCTCTCTGGGTACCGTCAGGAGAGTTTGAAAGAAGGAGCGGTACTTGCTGCCTTCCTCTCGTAGCCGTGTGCGAATCACTTCTGCAGGAGGAGAATAAAGATGGAGAGATTAGTTTAAAAACTGGGGCAGCAGTAGCTCAGGAGGTAGAGCGGGTTGTCCAGTAATCGGGGAACGGTAGGTCAGGGTATCTACAGGTTTAAGGAAGCCAAATTTCAGACTTTTTAAGAACTTTTTAAGGCCACTTTGACCAAATTTAAGCTATAATTTCCAGCTATTGCCTGGAACCGGTGCTAACCACGTCGCAAATGTGGGATTAGCCATCCAGTAACCATTAAACTTGCACTTCCCCATGGCGCAAGCTCCCACTAGCTTAACCAGCTAATGTGCTCATCTAAAAATAGCCCCCTTTCACAACCAACTGAATGTGTACGGTTCCGCTTACGCCAACATCATACACAAAAAAAAAGCTGAAGACTAACTAGAAATTCACAAAAATTTTATAGTAATAAAATAATCTAGTTTATTGGGCCTTTGGTAATTTAAGACCTTTGGAAACTGTATTTAAAGATTGTTTGTCATTTTTAAGGATTTTTAAGGCCTTAAATTTGGAAAAGCAAATTTAAGACTTTTTAAGACTTTTTAAGGACCCGCGGATACCCTGGTAGGTTCAGTCCTGGCTCCTGGCAGAGAATGCTGCTGTTGTGTCCTTGGGCAAGACGCTTAAACCACCTAGCCTGCTGGTGGCGTTTGGAGGGACCAGTGGTGCCCGTGTTCAACAGCCTCACCTCTGTCAGTGCGCCCCTGGGAATCTGTGGCTACACTGTAGATCATCATGATTAGGGTGTGAATGTGTGTGTGCATGGGTGAAAGACTGTGTTGTAAACCACCTTAGGGGGGTTCTAGGACTGGTAAGGAATCAAATACAGGCTTTTCCCCATTTATAATACGTAGCTCTGTCTAAATAGTACCAAAATCTATTTGATCCTAAAATAATGTACAACACCCACTGACTGTATGTCTCGAGGTTTCAGTATTACGACAAAGCTGCACATGTATGTGTAGAATTACAGCTCTATTTGCAGCATGAGACAAACCTGACACTCTGCAGGAACAATAAGAAAGCGGTCTCACCAAAAATGTAACATGTCTTTACACAGTAGTGCACCCAGGTGTACAGCTAAACATCTGCTCAATTTACTTTTCAAGTCGAGTTTGGATTGAAGCTAAGATTAACTTGTCCAAAACTAGCTTGTGGGTCTGAATCAGCGGCGGCTCGTCAAGTCAGGTCAAATTTGATTTCTATAGCACCGTTGAATGGCAAATAAATAGTGTTGCACACAGAGTAAAAATACATCAAAACAAGCTACAAAGACTAAAACAACAAAAAAATACAAAACTACTAAAAGATTAAAAGCAATAAAAACCACAAATTAACCTGAAACCTGGAGGTTTATCAGCAGAATGCCAGGGCATACTAATGCGTTTTCAGACATGCCGTATTCAGGACCACAGTATCAGCTGTGTTGTCCTCCAGAGGTAGGCTGTTCCACAACACAGGAGCCATCACAGATAATGATCTACCCTGTCCATAGGGGGCGCTAGGGTAACACCCTCCCTGACTTCAAGGCAGAAAAGAAATCTAAAAATTATAAAAGCTACAATATGTATTCATATATTTACTATAAATGTGTCTGTTTTGCTTAACTGTGTGCACCTACATGCAATCTGAATCATTTACTCATCATTTTCACCAGCTGTCTCTCATTAAACTGAATTATCTCCAAAAGAATCATTAATTTCACTCTTGGGGCTCAGGGAAAAGCAGCTAAACAGCCAATAGCATTTGGTTGCTAGCAAGAATTTGACAATTTTGAAAACTGGTTATCTACTTTAATTTCTGTCATGTCAGTGCCACCTACTGGTGTAGCAGAGTACTGCTCTAACGTGAAAATGCTTTGAGACACACAGGCTGCTGGAGACTGAAAACTCAACCTGGAAAACAAACTAAGGATAAAACTAAATGGAAATCATTGATTAAAGGTGTGTACGATAGACGTGTGTATTAATTATTATTATTATTATATAGTCAAATTTACTATTATAAGAGTTGTTAAAATTTTTTTTTTAATATTTTAACCTTTGATTGAAATGAAGGCAAATGGGACTGAAGCTTACCGTGAGGATAGGCAATAGAGGTGGCACAGGTCTTGGAAGTGGCTGCTGCTAGCATCATGCCCACGAAGTCCGAGGCATCTTTGACGGACTCGTCCTCCTCGTCCATGCTGCTGTGGACTTTGGATTCCTGCAGCTTACGCTTGATACTTTCATAAATCACAAAGTGGATAACGGTCTCGGAGATGCCGGCATACGAGGCCGACATCCCTCTGTAGAAACCTCGTAGACCATCCATCTGGTACACCCGCCGCACACACTCAAAGGCACTCATGCGCCGCTCGCCGCGGTTTCTGGGATCAGAAAGTGACGTTTTAATCCAGCTCCAACAGTAATATCATTTAGATGAAGCAGCTGCGGCTCCTTACCTGGAGTCCAGCTGCAGGCGGGTTTTGATCAGCCAGATAGGGTTGGTGGCCGTGATGGCGGTGAACCCTGAGAAATTCAGAGAAAGTCAAAGGTTCAGATAGATGTCTGGAGACTTGTAAAAAAAAAACAAATCAGCTACACTAACATTCTATACAGCGCAAAGACAGAGAGAAAGCTTTTCACAAAACAAGATCAGCTGGCTTTGTCTTTTTGGACTCTGCAGGCTGAATCTTCAGTTCTTCTAAAATATTCTACAGAATAATAAAGACAGAAGCTGTAAAAGACACATAAATCTATGTTGGGAGGAAAAAAATCACTGTGAATTAAAGACAAGAATCATCTTTTTCATGTGAAATATTACTTAGATAAAACACAGTTTTGTTAAATGTCCCAATTGACAACATTTCTGCATTTTTTATATAAATGTTTAATTGATTTTCATTAATTTAGGATTTTTTTCTGTAGGATTTTTTTTTTTTTGCTAATTAAAACAACAGAAATTCTAACAAAAACAGTCTCATGACCACTCAGTGGGCCTGAGAGTTCACTCTAAAACTGTTCCAAACTTTATGTGGTAAATAATAAAAAAAACAGTGTTGACAAGCTGCTGGAATTATTTAAAATCTGAGCTAATTTAAATAAAAATTTTAGTTTATTACTGAAAGTCTAATTTTAAAAGGAGGACCTGCCAATAATAAGGCCTCAAAAATAGCATAAACTGGAAGAGAATGATGCGCTGCACAGATTGTGTTTATTAATCATTACAATTCTAACTAATATGACGTTTGATACATAGCTAATACAAAATTGAGGCCAAGTGTCTTAAAAAGTCTTATAAACTGAAGTAACAAGTGAGTAAAAACGCAAAGCCATCTGCAGGAGCCTCCTAACGCCAGAGCGAGTCTAAAAGACACATCTAGTGTATGAGTGCAACAGAAGGCTAGGTGAAGGCAACGGCAAGAAGAAGAGAAGATTACAGGTCTGATGGAGAGAAGGGCAGAAGAACAAAATAAAGAGGAAGAAGAAAAGAGAGGGAAGAGGAATGAAGTAGCGTCTATGGCGTTTACTCACGGGGGAGGGGCAAAGCTCCTCCAGCGCCTCCCCGCTGCAGCTAGAAGCCTGCAGATTTTGGGGGAATCAGATGGCGGGGGTCTCCCACCCAATCACGCAGGGGTGAAAGCTTTACAGTAAAGCCCTAAAATAGACACAGGCTTTTCTGTACCACAGTCACACACAAGCAGCAGTCACATCTACCCCAAACCCCACCACCCGCACCCTCCCCATCACACCCCCAAAGAAGAGGAAGAAGAGATGGGCGGTGGGGGGGGGGGAGGCTGAGCCCCCTCCACCCATCTTTCTTTAAAGTGAAACCCAACCCCAACCAACCAATGTTTTCATTTACACTTTTATCGTTTTTGCCATTTCGTCAAATGGAACAAAAGAAAAATAGATGAAACCAAAACCCAACTAATTCTGAAGCTCTGAAACGAAAAGGAATCAAAAAGTCTGTCAATCGACTTAATTAAAGGAGGAAATCAGATGCAACTGGAAAAGGTTCAAACATAAAGCGCGGCAGGCGGAAATGCTAACCTTGCTGTGGTGGGAGAGTGAAAAGAGGAATGACTGATGATTAAAATAACGATGAAACAATGGCGATGGGACAAGGATTACATCTCAGTCTGCTACTAACCAGTCTGACCAGACAAGACTAATCGAAACAGCAAGGTGTCAAATTAAAATTGATTAAATCACGCTGGTCAGCTGAGACAATTAGGAGAATGGTTTGATCGTTTATGCAGCTTTAAAAAAAACATTTAGATTTTACTTCATATGAATTATTGACAAAAATCCAACAGATTTGCCTAAAATACACTATAAACAGCTAAATTATCAAGTTAACTAAGTTATAAAAATACAAAAAATCAGAAAGTGAAGCTATCAACACATAATCCGTTGGCTTACTAAATCAAAATCCCTGCTTCAGCTGACGCCGAGTAGAAAGCAAAGAACATGCTGCTGCATGCGCTGCGTTTTGATCCTTTTATAAGCACGATATTTGTTCTGCACCTCCAGTGGGGTTTGACCTACATTCAGAGACAGGAGCAAGTTTCAGAAAAGAAGTCTGACTGAAGTGATGAGTGGGAGCAGCCGCTTCCCTCCAAATCACAAAGAAGTCAGCGTTTCAAAGCCAGGTTGGCCAGGAGGGGAAGCCCTCCGAAGACTTCATTTATAAAACTGGATACTATTATCCTGCATCTAGATTTTAGAGTGATGAGGTTCTGGCACCGAACGCTGCGAGCTCACTCTTGTTAATCTCTCACTCGGTTGTTGGTCAAGTTGATGTAAATGTGCTTTAGAAAGACAGCGATGAGTTTATGTGGAGTGGTAAACTGTGGTCCAGTACGGACAACCCTTGGTGGGTTCAAGATGCAATAAAATGTAACAATCCAGCACTCTTGTTGCTTATTTGTTGTGTTAAAGACCAAGTTCACTGACAAACTGTTCTTACTTATTTTTTTAAATATGATCTGTCACTCCAAGTTTCACATGCAGGCTGAAAATGTGAAAATGGTCTTCTACCCCCATTTCCTGCATTAGCCGCTGATAGAAAATATACGGAAACTCTCAGATTAGAAAAGTCTGTCAGATCTACGTCACACTGTAAATTAGCATTTATGGAATAAACCATCTTGGCTTAAGACAGGGAAGCCCGTTTTTGATCTAGCATCCAGGAGAGAACAGAGCAGCTGGTAGAAGCTAACCGTTAGCATTAGCAACTCCACAGCTGCTGGGTTTTACAGGACGTTGCATCGACGTCACCAAATGCAGATGGGAGTTCGGAAGTAGCTGGCGCTGCATAGAACGCTATTTACTCTGTTGACTGGGTGTTAAATGTCGAAATTCTGTGTGGTCTACAGTTATTACAATTACTCTGATCGGGACAAAGACAAACATTTCTCCCCAAGTCTCGAATGTAGTGTATGTAGTAAAAAAAAATGAAACGTGCTGAAAGAAGACGGCAGAAGTGGATCGTAATCTCCAGCTTAAAACAGGAGCTGAAACGAACAATGCTGAAGAGGTAGGAGATTACTAAATGTTTTATGGCATTTTATTAAACAGTTACTGAGGCCTAGTCCACACGTAGCCGGGGTTTTTGAAAACGAATATCCGCCCCTCCAAAAACTTGCATCCACACCACCTCGTTTTAAAAACAAACTCTGTCCACACGTACCCGGATAAATACGTTGTTAAAGAGCAAGTCACCCCCAAATCAACTTTTTTTTGCTGATAAACTAAATAAACAAGTGTCTAATCGTGCTGCAGACACGTGTAGTCAATAATTTGGCACTTAAGTTAAAATTTAAATTTTCTGCCTAAAACTGTCAGTGTTGTGCCGTTGTCAGGTAAAAACTCTGCACTGTATTTGAATTTAAATCTGCCACCGCTATTGGCTAAGAGGTATGCTATGATGTAAACTGGTACATTATGATGTCACAATGCTGTTGTGAACCTGTGTGTGTGTTTGTTAACGGCTCCGCCCTCTCGGTCTGCCAGGCAACGGCATTTGTTGCATTTTTCAAACATGAAGTGGGAGTGGAGTTAGACTCTGGTAGGGGGTGACTTGCTCTTTAAGGACACGCCAGACCTGTAGGCGGCAGTACTTCCCCCGTTCTTAACCTCGTCCTTCGTCTGTGGTCTTCCGCAAGGAGAAGTAATTCCGCTTGCAAAAAAAAAGCAAAAAGCGCTTGGACAATTGATGGATCGGGTAGTGACAGAGCGCAGCTGTGAGCTTCCATGCTGTCGGCTAGTGTAAACACAGGTCGCACACGTGATGTCAGCATTTTTTTGTCGTGGAAAGTGAGGTTGCGGACCTTAAAACTCCGGTTTTGTCCGTCCACACGCAGACACCCAAAACGGAGAAAACGCAGATCTTCACTTTGGCCGGAGTTTTTAAAAAGATCTGTTTTCGTGTGAAAAAACTCTGTTTTCGTGTGGATGACAGGCCAAAACGTAGAAAAATATTTACGTTTTGGCATATCCCCGGCTACGTGTGGACAGGGCCTTAGAAACACAGCCATTAAAAACAGCAGGTCACCGCAAATAGCTTTCAGAGTGCTAATGTTTTAGCGGTTAGCTCAGTCTTGTAATGTGACGTTTAAACCTTATTAAAATCAAACAAACGTGCCAAAAATTTGGATTTAAAAAGGCATAAAATGTTAGACGATGGTCATTTAGGGCTTCTCGGGATCACTAACTAGTTAACCAACCTGAAATAAAATAGCTTTAGGCTTCCAGGCTTGTAAAAGGCTTTAATTTGGTTTGCAGTGTAATATGAAGCGTGCAGCATGAGGTAGTTTGTTGTGTTGATTGTTGTTTTATTCTAGGTCACTGAAGCAGTCGGTTTTCTAAATGGTGAAGTTCATCTGGAACTTTAAACATTTTTAATAGAAGAAACTGACTAACGCGCCGTAAAAAGACGTGACAAAAGTAATAAAATGGTGACAATAGATGATAGGAAACAAAATAAAAACACACTGAGTCCAGAAATCAGTGGCAATGACAAGGTTAGCATTTCATTTGTGTTGACGAAAATCTAAATGAAATCCACACGAGTGTTTTACTTTACCTTTACTGTGCTGATGTAACAATTAAGCAGGGGGGAGGTGTGTGTCAAGAAGGCTAGGCAGTAACAAAACCTTATGGTAAAGGCCTAAGCTATCACCATACCATAAGAAATTACTGTATCATTACAATTTAACAAACCATTATGAGATGTCAATTTAAAAAAAGATCACCATGGTTTTTATCATACCAGTGTAAAGAAATATGGTGCTACCTGCCGCGTCCGCCCGAGTGCCGGGGGCCCCGGTTGACCTTTGGGGGCCGTGTTTTCTTCTCTGTACACACAGAGCAAAGAAGGGGGCCCAGACCACACTGTTTAAGTTACAACTGGGATGGTAAACTATTTACAGAGTCCTCTGGAGAGGCCTCAAAATAAAAAAATAATATTTAAAAAAGGGCAGGAAAATAAACAGAATGGAGGACATGAGGGGCTGGAGAGGATGAAAGCACAACCTAAACTTTAAGGGCCAAAAGTTTTTTTTAATTTGGTTACATAACAGCTGAAATATTTACAGCAACAATTTCAGCAGTGTGAAGGCTGATGTTGTAATCTACGTGGATTATCAGATGTTTAAAGAGCTAACGAGGGTTGAGTAATGCAGAAGTAATGCGTATTTGTCCTTTTATGAAGGTATTTATGAATAATCTGGGATTATGTGGAAGCTAAGTGGTTCCAACATGGATTGTTTCATAAGTAAATATGTTTGATCCTCGTAGTCTTAAATTGTGCTTTCTGATAAATTACTGAGGTTTGGATTTATTATTCCTACATGGGAATCAGCTAGAAAATGCTTACTTATGGAAAACATCATCATATAGCTTTAGCATGCTTTATGAAGGCGGGGGGGGGACATCAAATTGTAAATAAATAAATACATACATGAATGGGTAAGTGATGAGGATTTAATGGAATAAAATGAAGTCTTTCAACATGTTTCTGAGTAAAACCCATCAGTGAGATGCACGGCCCAGGCCGACTGACAGACGGTCAAGCAGGCAGATAAAACGGTGACACGAGGAGGAGGAGAGAGGGAGCCGTCTTTACCTGCCATCCCAGCAGACACCATGTGCACCTGGGTCGAGTCTGGCTCCAGCACTCCATTCAGCTTCTCCTTGGCTGTCGAATAGGCTGCAAAGTAGATCGCCCTGAGGAAAAAATAAAAAATAAATAAACGTGGAAAAGACAAACTGAATATTACTGAATGAAGAAAAATAAAACTCAGTGGATAAGTAAAGACCAAAAGTTGGAGTGTGAGTAAATAAAAATATGCTTTAATAAAAAAAAACATTATTTAACAGCTGATGACAGAAAACACACAAAGATGTTTCAATGACATAAAAGTACCTATAAATGAGTACAGATAAGAGCTAAAATCAGCAAATGTCATGGGAAAGGAGGCCACTGAAATGAGGTTTGTGTGTGTGTGTGTGTGTGTGTGTGTGTGTGTGTGTGTGTGTGTGTGTGTGTGTGTGTGTGTGTGTGTGTGTGTGTGTGTATCGTGTTCCTAATTAAAGATGTATCTACCCTGACCTTAGCTGCTTCTCTCCCCATAAACGTCACAGGATTTAGTAAACATTTCTGCAGACTGGAATTAATTCCCAATGATTTCCACTTCCTGTTGAGAAATTTCTGAAGGGAAAAGTGTGCACAACACACACACACCACACACACATCTAGTCAAAGCACGTTTTACTGTGTGTGTGTGTGCGCGCACACATGACTGACGCTGGTTCAGCAAGATGTCCGCCTCATTGTGGCGTGTTGCTAATAAACGTCAGCAGGATGTCCAGGGGATTGTGCTCTCATTAGCATCAGAGGATGTTTTTATTTAGCTTTCAAGCATCATAGCACAGTTTCCTAATAAGAGCAGCAAAGAATGCCGACCTTTGTCCCATAGTTACCACTGCAAATGCATCCAGTTATACTTATAATTACAGCTCATAATTCATTACTTTATAATGCACTCACAGCTCATTTAGACCGCTGTTTCATGCCAAATCTGGATTCTTTAAGTTCTATGATTACGTAGCAGCAATTTTATATGCAAATTAGCATTTGTGAGAGTCAAAGAGCAAATTTCATGGAGGGCACGTTACTCCAAATAGAATAGAAAAGTTGGATTATTACAATTTCTGCAAATATTGTTGTACAATAATAAATGTACAATGTGTGCAGCTCCAAATTATAGCTCCAGAAAAGTTATGGTCATAAAACATGTGTTTTGTACAATTTATGAAAGCAATTTCACAATAATTCAGTCTGGGTCAAAGACACTAAAGGCAGCCAATCAGAGGCATGGGTAGTTCTCACTGGAAGGTCACAACATGGGAGGGATCAACTAAACTGTAAAAAGGTTGTTTTGGCCAAAACAAATGTGAAGAAACAGGCAGGAGAAGCCAGAAACCGAGTCAAAAAAATATAAAAATATGGGCAGACTCAACAGAAAAAACCAAAAAGCACAAGTGGAAGTCATGGGTTTCGTATAATAATTAATTGGAACAGCAGTAGCTCAGAAGGCTGAACAGGTTGTCCAGTAATCCGAAGGTTGCAGGTTTGATCCCGGCTACGACTAGAGAATGCTGCTGTTGTGTCCTTGGGCAAGACTCTTAACCCACCTTGCCTGCTGGTGGTGGTCGGCAGGCGTCGCCTGAGGGACAGCTGTGGCTACATCGTAGCTCATCACTACCAGCATGTGAATGGGTAGATGACTGATTGTGCTGCGAAGTGCCTTGGGGGGGCTGTAGAACCCTAAGAAGGTGCTTTACACATATGGCCATTTACAAAAGTAAACCACTGAGAGGAAGGTGACAAATAGTCATGTGACACAGCATAGGTTGGGAAACATCCACAGGTCAGAGTTGAGACAGCTGCCTGAATGAAAACAGAAGTCACATGACCAGTAAGTAGCTGGACGACACCTGCTGCTTCATTCAGGCCGATTAACCAACTCTTAGTTATGTAACGTTGCCCAGATAAGCTGGAAATCTAGTTTTTTTTCCATCAGGACTCAGATTTGAAGCACAAGCGTCTGTTGCACCATCACGAGCCCAACGATCATTTCTATGTTTGCAGCCTGCCAGAGTAAAGTACGCTCAGAGAGTGAGAAGCTAAGACGTTCGACTTTCCACCAAAGACGTGTTTCCAGGTTTGACGAAACAAACTCGATAAATGACGCAGGCTCCTTTCTTCAAGCTGATAACGGTGCTGATTACAACTGGCCCAAGCTTTCTAAACCAGTTTTTTGTCAACACTGAAAGACTGTGGTGACCTATTTTACTGTGTTTGGTTATGATATGAAACATTTGCAACAGATCTGTGTTCTTTAGCCTTTTGCTTAAGAGAGAGGCTGAGTTGGTTATCAAACAAAAAAATGTTACAATATTTGGAACAATATGGCTGCACTCCGATTCTGTTCATAACTTATGGACAGGATTTCTAGGCGCAGCTTAGGTGTTGAGGGGATCCATTTTGGTGACCTGAGGATCGGGTCTGCTTTTTGCAGATGATGTGGTCCTGTTGGCCTCATCAGAACATGATCCCCAGCTTTCACTGAAGTGGTTCACAGCAGAGTGTTAAGTGGCTGTGATGAGAATCAGCTCCTCTAAATCTGAGACCATGGTCTTGAATCAGAAAAGGGTAGAATGCCTTCTCCAGGTCAGGGATGAGGTCCTGCTCCAAATGGAGGAGTTTAAGTATCTCAGGGTCTTGATCACGAGTGAGGGAAAGCTGGAGCGTGAGCTCGATAGGCGGATTGAAGCTGCATCTGCAGTGATGTGGGCGTTGTACCGATCAGTCGTGGTGAAGAGAGAGCCGAGCCAGAAGGCGAAGATCTCAAACTTCCGGTCGATCTATGTTCCTACCCTCACCTATGGTCACGAGCTTTGAGTAGTGACCGAAAGAACGAGATCACGGATACAAACGCCGAAATGAATTTTCTCCGCAGGGTGGCTGGACTCTCCCTTAGAGATAGGGTGAGAAGCTCAGTTATCCAGGAGAGGCTCGGAGTAGATCCGCTGCTCCTCCACATCGAGAGGAGCCAGTTGAGGTGGTTCGGGCATCTGGTCGGGATGTCTACTGGATGCTTTCCTGGCGAGGTTTTCCAGGCATGTCGAACTGGGGTGAGACCTAAAGGAAGACCCAGGACACACAAGAGGGACTATGTCTCTCGGCTGGCCAGGAACACATTGGGATTCCCATGGAGCAGCTGGGGAGAGGGAGGCCTGGGCCTCTCTGCTTAGACTGCTGCCCCCGTGACCCGACTCCGAATAAGCAGAAGAAAATGGATGGAAGAATGGCTACCTGTTTATACTCAATATGTAGATGTCTATGGGAATGTGATTATGTTACACAACATAAATTCATGAATTATTTCATTTTTGTTTTATTCACTAAAGCTGTTCCTGGAAGTAGGTGTAGACCTTCTAGGAATGCCCACGTAACACCATGACAACTTGTAGCTTACAAATACATCACAAGAGCTCTAATGAAAACAAGAAAACCCATAAAAACACTCAAAAGAAAATCCACATACCTGGAAGGTGCCACACCTACAAGATTGGGACCCAGTCCTCTGAATAGTGAACGGAGTCCTTCTCTTTCTAAAATTAACCTGCAGAAAGAGAAAATACTTCACAATGAATCATTGAAATTAAACACCAGGAATGCGATCCTCTATTTCAAATGACCATAAATCATTATAACCCTAAACCTTTAGTCACATTTACTCAGACTGTTCTATCGTCTACAGTAAGCCCATTATGAAAACCAGTTGAACCAGTAAACTAGAACCTCCTTGGCAAAAGATCAAAAGCTGACACTAAACCCAACTTATACAAAGTCATTTCTGAGAGACCTAGAAAAAAGGACCTATGTCCTCTCCCAGATTATGTTTACAGTGTTATCAGCCCATCACGTTTGTCTCTAGTCGGTTCAAAGATTCCTCACCTGTGTCTAAACTAACCCAGTTATTTGACTGACTTCGCCTTCAACGGTTTTTACCACATGGACCCAAAACACAAAGAAAAGCATGAAAACATCAAGACAACTGATCGTTTTTTTCCCCAAGGTGAGTAACTAAATTTTTTACTGTTAATTTTATTTTTATAAAACGGCTACACCTCTTTACCTTATCAACATGTTAGGTGGAGGTCTGCTCTCTCCAGGAAATTCATTAGAGCGGTTTTACCAATTCAGCTTGCTTCTCACACCAAACCTTCAGTCAGGAATCTTGGCGTGACCTTTGACCTAGCTCTCACCCTGGATTCTCATGTCAGTTCTCTTGTTCGCTCTTCCTTCTTCCATCTCAGGAACATTGTTAAGCTGATTCCCATTCTGTCTCACTCTGAACTTGAGACGGTTCTCCACACCTTCATCTCCTCACGCTTAGACTACTGTAACTCTCTTTTCACGTGTCTGAGCAGAACCTCCCTGAACCGTCTGCAGGTGGTTCAGAATGCCTGTGCTCGGCTTCTGACCAAGTCCTCCAAACACACCCACATCACCCCGCTTCTCCTCCAGCTTCACTGGCTGCCAGTCAACTTCAGGGTTCATTTCAAGATCCTGGTTCTGGTCTATAGGGCCTTACATGGACAAGCACCATCTTACATTGGTGATCTTCTTAGTGCCTACACCCCCAGCAGGTCCCTGAGGTCCAGTGATCAAAGCCTACTGGTTGTGCAGCACCAGGCTAAAGACCAAAGGTGACGGATCATTTGCTGCTGTAGCCTCCAGACTCTGGAACTCTCTCCCCCTGAGCTTGAGATCAGTGGACTCAGTGGTCTCCTTTAAAAATCAGCTGAAGACTCACTTGTTCAAGCTGGCTTTTGTATGACCTTCTTCACCTCTCTCTTTATTCTGCTCTCCCCACCTATTCCACCTTCCTCAGGATCCACTGATTTCCCTCTTTCCTATTCACTCTCTCTCTTTCTTAACATTTTTTTAAATCACAATTGTCTATTTTTTGCTCATTTTAAATATATTTTTAACCATTTTCTAAATGCTTTTTTATATTTTTTCATTTTTTGTTTTTGTGAAGCGCCTCGTGATTTTTATCTTGAGAGGCGCTATAGAAATGATATTTTCTTCTTCTTCAAATACAAGGTCTGTGCTTGGAACAGTCAAAACGGCTTCCGAGGAAAGGAGGAGTCTGGAGTAAAGGTGTCTCTGTGATCTCTGGTTTAAATTAAAGCTGAGCCACTTTGCCTCCTCTGTCCTGCAGCTATCCATGTCGCAATGTTCCGTTTTTGCCAACAGCTGCTTGTCTTGAGGGCAACACAAGAAATTGATTTGTGTTGGCAACAGAAGATTTGGATTAAGTGAAGTCCCAAAAAACAGGGAGGTTAAAAAATTATCTTAAAGAGAACAGTTGAGAAGACTAAAACCACGAACCAACAAAAATGAAAATGTGCCTTTGAGCCAAAAACGGACGTGAATTCTGGTTAGTCCTTTTGGTTTCTACTGAACAAGGAAAGTGCAAAGTCAGCATGTGTTCATGGTAACCCGCTAAGATCTCAGGGATAAACGACACTGCTCCGATTTCCGAGACTAAACCAAACAGGCTAAGATTTGTAATACAAAACATAATGAACACAAGTGTTTAGCAGTGGAAAATTCCACTAACAGCATTATGCAATATGTTATAAATGTTCTGTTAAAGTGAAGAAAAGGCTCACCAGGGAATGAGAGTAAAGCTGTGCAACTAAAAGACATGAATATTAACTGGAAAACAGTGAATTTAACCTCACTAATATCTTGCTATAGAAGGTTTAAATCATTTCCCAATAAACTTTTAACCAGTTCAGGATTTCCCAGTACTTTCACTTGTCTGTTGAACTTCCAGGTAGTAGATGTTTTTTAAAAGAAGAGGAATCATATGTATGATTTGTATTAGTAGAGTAAAATTAAGAGATATCAGTTTTATTGTTTGTCACTAAAGTTATTTTTTCTTTGGCTGCTGCCTTCATTCTGTAAATCAATCAAATCCTGCTAGTTTAGAAGTAAACTGAACCCTGAGAAACCAGTGAATGCTTCTAAAATCCCCCATTTTTATTTTCCTTACTTGAGACAGTGCAGAGGCCCCGGAGGAGAAACCCGAGCAACGCTGGCTCCGTTGACGGTGCTGAGCTGAACTTCAGAGATGTACAGTGTGATGGAGGAGGACTGCAACCTGGTCTTGACAACTTCCAAAGGACAAGTCAGAATAGCACCCACAGTACCACCACATCTGGGAGAGGAAGGGTGAAAGACACAAAGGTTACAAAGAAAGGGAAAAATATGAGAAAGTTCACCTAAGCTTGGTGATTATAAACAAAAGGGAAAAAATCCAAGCAATCTGTTTTTGCAAGACTTGAGAAAACTAATTATTTGCATCATTGTGAGTTATGGGCAAGTTAAGAAAACTAGGGTAGCTCCACTACTTTGACTTTTAGGGCAACATGAGTTATTGTGAAATTCAATCTGGTTGGCTTACTTCTTTCCTACCATGGTTTCAGACATACTTATTTATAATCGTTTCATAAATTATCCACCTTTATTATAAAACTGCATACGTATGAAGAAAAGTCTTGATTCCTTATTGTGGTTTCTGCAAAAATCCACTGAGGCACTACAGCGTTTTCAAGTTGACATTGTGGCATTGCACTCCGAGTAGCACCAGCTATATTTACCTTTGAAAACACCACTGCACATTCATGCTTACAGCAACTGGTGACCCTTGGCCTACTTTCTGCTGCTGCATATGAGTGGCTAGGAAGCAGCAGCAGGCTGAGGCCTCCTCAAGAAAACGCACTGTTGATTCTGCTCATTCGAGCCTGTTTGGTGGTTTTTATGTCTGCTCAAATATGCGAATATCCGACAAGAGACGTAACGGAATTTCTGCGCTTGTTTTAAGATTACGTATCTGAACGTGAGTTTGGTGAGCGGATGCTAACAGAGGAGCTGATAAATGAGGGTAAAACAGAGGCGACGAATCCGGAAACGAATACCATTTCCTACCAAAATAAAAGCATTGTTTTATGTTCAAACTGTAGATATTTCAATGGAAAAAGCGATATTTAATCTTTTTAAACACCCAAATGTGTCTATTAAGTCGAAATGTGATAATGTTGTGGTGGTCATTTTAGTAGTGGGAGAGATAAGGATTAACCGGAAGTAACATTGGAACAGTTTTTGACGTGATCGACGTGATCAGAACTGACAGCACGCGCTGCGTAGAAAAACGACCCTTTTGACTTTGTATTGATCTCGATAAGCCGCACGAGTCTTGTTGAAAATCACAGCTGTGCATTTATGGAAAATTAGCCAATAAATTAATACAATAAATTGTCACGACTTACCCTCCAGCGAACAAATGAACCAGTGTGTCCCTTTGGCTCATTATTTAGCATGCTCTGCCCAGCAGCACACCTCGGGCTGCGGGAGGGAGGGGTCAAACACGGACTCGGTTCCGACCCGTTCCCGCTGCTTTCTGGCTACGAGATGATGCGCACGTCGAGAGACAAACGACCACAAATCAGCGGCAGGGCAAGTCTCCGCTGATTCAGACTGCAGAGGGCCGAACACCACTATCTTCTGTATCTCAGCTTCTTCTTTGAATCAGAACCCGACCAGAATAGCGCAAAGCTGCGAGCTCATCGGGCTGCGTTCTGACTCTGAAACAGCCCGGTTCTGTCAAACAGTTTTATAGGACATCCGCGGGCTTAACTTGATTGTCTCGTCTGCTTTCATCGCTGCAGCAAAACGGGAAGGAGGCAGAGCTCATAGTATTTACTGTACAACCATAGGTTGAAGACGGACGCCGCTATTGGTCGGAAAGGGTTCTGACGTCACGGCGTTTCCGCCCTCATCATGCCGAGTTCACATGTTCGTTGCATGAAACCGGAGGGATTATTTGGAAATCTGATGTCTGGGATTTGAACAAGTACATATTTTTGTAACTTAGTTTCATGAATTTCTATGAGATGTTTAACTTAAACAAAATACGCCGATGTTATGTATTCATAGACCTTTACAACTGTGTTATCATTTGCAAGCCTAATCTGCTAAAATACCAAGTTTTGCAGAAATAAACATACTCTTTGATCCTTTAATATCTTTGTGAAGAATCTGAGATAGACCATCAGATTCTTTATATTTAACTGTATCTGTTAAAAAAAAGTCAACCTGTCACTGTAACGAAAACATATAGACTCTGCCAAAGTAGTAAATAATTACACAAATTTTCAAAATCGCACATTTATAAAGCTGTCACACATTACAGTTTACCAGTGGAGAAGCCATTTTAGTTGTTTACATTTAGATTCATTTTCATGCACATCTCAATATTTTAACACTAAAATCAATTAAGTGTGTTGATAATGAAGCTAATCTGATCCACATGCTTTTTGTATGTCTGAAAGATGCCATCATGTTAAAACATACATGTGTAAAAATGTGCATAATAATAATAAATATGATAAAATCTATCAGCATGCAAGAACCCAAAAGTAGGATAATGGAAAAATAACTCTAGATTATTGCTGTGAAAATCAATTCTTTTTAGAATCAGGGCTTCCAGTTTGGGTGCCAGAGATAAGATTGAAAGTCTAACGTTCTCTTTGCTATTGAATGTTGGGATTAAATCATGCCTATTTGTTAAAATAAATAAATAAATAAATAAATAAAATAAAAATCCCCAAAGATCTGTTTGACTTTAACAAGAGAAAAGTGGTTCCTTTGACTAAATTAATACACAAGTTGTTTATATTTCAAATTCTGCACAATAAGGAGAGTGCCATTTCAGCTAATCTAGAACTAGAGCAAACTGTGTGGGTTCAAAGTACAGGAGTCAACAATCAGAAAGAGATTATGACCAGATATAGAGCCTAGCCTTTTGAAGTAATTCATAATGGTTACAAAAAGAAACCAGAAAATAAAAGATATAAAATTAAGTTTGTTGCTAAATGTAATCCCTCCCAGCAACCTTTTTTTCTGGATGATTTTACATCTGCTGAAAAGCACAGCAGTGAGAACATTATGATATGGGGTGTTTTCAGTATTTCAGGGATTAGGCAGCTGGTATATTCAGCTATTAGTTCTTATGGAAGAGAATAACTTTTTTTTTCATGCAAGTGTGATTTTTAAAACTCAGCCCAAGAGGAGAAACCCGAGCAAAGTCAGCCAATGGCCAAGGACAAAGAACACCCACACAAAAAACACAAGTTGTTAAAGTTTCACTTCAATTGGTAATTGAACCTATATGGCAAGACTCAAAGCCCTGCAGGTTTTATCCACTGATTATGTTTATTTTTATTTTATAATAAAAACATTTTTTTAAATATTGGCAACACTTTCCGATAAGGGTCCCTTTATTGACGTTATTTAGTGCATTATTAGGCATTAATTTACAAAGGATCCCTTTATCAACATTCCCGATATTGTTACCTATTAAAGAGACAGTGTGTAGTTTTTACCATTAATCTCTGGAAAAATCCATCGAAATGTTGGCCTAGTGAACTAGACCAAATTCTTGCTTTGCAAAGTTTGGTCTAGGAACGCTCGATTTGAACCTCCGCAGCCCCTAGCAGCATTTTGGCTGGCCAATTGCAGCTCTCTAGAGGGGTTTCAGTCCTATAGAGCACTGTGACTGGTACACAATGGTGGGCCAGTCACAGTGTTTTATCCGCTTTGTGGACCAATCAGAATCAGAATCAGATTTTTATTGTCATTGTCATCAAACACAGCTCACTGACTAGGAACTTGTTTCGGTGATAAGGTGCAACATGAACACACAAAAAAAACGTAGTAGGTAATAAATTATAAATAATTTGTACAATTAGCAGCAGGATAAACAGTGCAAGCATAATATTACAGTGACTGGTAAATAATGTGCCGGTTAATGAAGGTATCACCGAGTGTTCAAGAGACAGACGGCAGAGGGGAAGAAACTGTTTTTGTGGCGAGAGGTTTTGGTCCTGATGGATCGTAGCCTCCTGCCAGACAGAAGCGTCTCAAACAGTCCGTGACCAGGGTGAGAGATGTCGCCTGCAATTCGACCTGAGCTCCCCCAGTCCTTGTGGCATACAGGTCATGGAGAGATGGAAGACTCAGGGGCCTCTATTCGTCTGGTGGGCAGGATGGTGCAACAGAGTGGAACAAGATGGCGACAGCTCATTTGAAACGGCTTTTACATCAATTTTGGACTATTTGGACTTGGTCTTTATTACAATCAGGAGCAGATAGATGCATTTAAGTGCTTTATTTAGAAAAGAAAGGATGTATTTTTGTCTTCTTCAACAGTGGACAGTCTTGTGTACTGACATTCCGTTAAGTGGTGAGTACATCACGTTGTTCATTGTCCAGTGGCATGTGGAGATCGTTTGAAAGACAACTGTAGAACCCGCTCCATGACCAAAAGCCATCAATTGAGCATTGCCAGGCTATCGAAATGTTGGTGAAAATAAATTAAATGATGTCCAGTTGTTGAAAAATACTGGCGGCTTCGTAAAATATAACCTTAAAAAGCAGGTCTAAAATCCACGGGAGCGGGTCTGTATGTGTTGCTACATATCTTTGAGCCCGTGCGGGCAAAATTCATTTATTGATTTGTAACAAATGGTTACAAAATTTTCACCATTCTTAAATGTTCTTTTACACATTTACCTCTTTGCTTGCTGCCAGTGATAAACGGGAGTCTGATGTGCTTGTTATTTTGCTGGAGGTTGAACTAATGGCCATCCGTTGGTAAGGTCTTAAGCCTAATTTATACTTTTCCGTCAGCTCAAGTGTGGAGTCACTCACACGCACACGGAGATCTTTTCTTTTCAGACTACTCTGTCACCTGGGGAATGTTGAAAAGCAATTCCCCACCAGGACAACAGGGGGTGTAGCGCTTTTCTGGGGTATCCTATCACCATTGCAGTCACGTATTTGGTCCAAGATTGTGTATGTATGTACCATTGTGTTCACAATGTTTTAATTTATTTCAGAAACTTTTTAACATGAACAAATTTGTCCCTCATTCTCTTTCACATCATGCAATCGGCACCTCTAGACCCACATTTCTCGTCATTTCTGTCCACAAACGTATCTTTGTACTTCTTCAGTCACGGGTGAATAAATGTTAATATTTTCTGACTTTTTCCTCGAGGCGTTTTTCAATCTGTTCCGTGTCTGCCGCCAAATATCTTTTCTTTTTTCAAGAGGGCAAAGATGGTGCTGTTGACAAATTTACAGGAAGAGGTGTCCTGACCAATCACATGCTTGCGGTCCCCGTCATTTTCGACATAGAGTTAAAAAGTTGGGCATGTCTCCGTAGCCTCTGCAAGCCTGCCGGAGAGCCCTGGCGCTGACACAACACGGCATTGCGTGGCTCCGTACCGACACAGACGGAGACGTATAAACTAGGCTTTACTCGAACACAAAAATACAGCTTGCTTGCAATGATTTAGCTATACTGCCCCCTATTGGCAGGGAAAAGTCACACACAGTCACTTTAAGTGTCCTTAAAGTTAGGACAAAGGGAGGTAAGGGGGGTCTGCTTAGTAATGCATTACTTATTATTAATAAGTAGTTAATATTTAATTTAATTGTTTATTAATGCATAATATTGCACTAAGTAACGTTAATATAGGGACCCTTGTTGTAAAGTGTTACCCAAATATTTTATGTTTTTGTCATTTAGCAGAAGCTTTTATCCAAAGTGTCCCACAGCTGAGGAAATCCTAACCAGGCGTGGGTGAATGTAGGTGGACTTCAGCATCCATGGACCCTATGGCAAGAATCAAAGTCCTTCAACTAGATGATGGTCACTAGCATCAAAGTGGATCAGAAATTCCTGTTAGATGCCAGTCATTTTCATGGCGCTTGCCTAATTTGTCACAAGGCTAGTTGAAGTCATGCGCTTGGTTTTACTTTTCCCATTTGCTCCTTCAAAACCAGTAATGTCCGGCACGAGCAGTGTCCCGTGACATAAAGAATACTGGACAAGTGAATTGGGCAAATGAGCAGAGGGCTTGGCGTGCTTGTGATCATTAAACTCAATTATAGTATACGGATGAGACGCCCTGAAATGTTAAGGTTTGCAAACAGCATTTTCCTTGTTGAGCACATTTTATTAGTAAGTGAAACATAATCTTCACTTTAATCTAAATGTAATTTAAAGGTTTTCATTACATTATGGTTTAGTAATGCATTTAAAAGAAAAGTTAAATAATCTTGTTTATTCACTCAGAAAAGCTTAATCCAATCAAACATAAACCAACTATTTTCATGCAGAATAGTTGATTTTGATGGTCAAATTTGAATCGTTTACTTGATAAGCCATCTTTGTTTCAGCCTCAGCAAATGTTTGGTCTCCAAAATCAGCATGTGGTCACTCTAATGGACAGAAAACACACAGTGGTACTGAAAAACCTAATAGAAGTCCATTAAATTGAAATGCACTTGCGATTGTTACTTGATTATTCAAAATATATGAGACAACAAATCAATATAACTCTAAGATGGATCCATGCAAACCTTGTAAATCAGCAGAGGTATACATCTGCAAGGCTTAAAGTGACACGATGCATTTATATTAGTTGGAGTTGAAATCTTGCACAACATAATAAATATCTCTAGAAAGCCAAGAAAATATAAATTTGGAGTATTCAGAATGGCTGGTGAGTGATCAGAAAGACAGCTCTGCTGGATGTCCTTCCAATAACTCAATTAGTGTCTCCCCGTGCTGCTCACGAGGACACAGCTGATCACGAGATGGAAGAGAAGCACCTGAATTAAAT